TGATACAAATGTTAACCTTCGTTGGAAAAAAAAAAAAAAAACGATTTAGTACCTGTCAAACCCTAGGTTAAGATCACAACCACGACCCTCAACGTGGCCACCGTAAAAGCTATCCTCTCCAAAATATTTGGGTCTGACTGGAGGTTTGGATCCATTGGATGCCCAGTTTGGTAGATCACTAGGAACTTCATACCAATCTGAGCAATGACGGACCAATTTTCCACTTCCCCTGCCCCTAATTAACTTCTGACGCTGCAGTCTGCCTAAAAAATTTTTGTAGCCTACAAGAGCTGAAAACTCTTGATATACAATAAGGAAAGAACGGACAATGGTAGAGCAATTATACTACTGTGTAGCTTCTCAATACTTGTCATACCACCTGAACTAGTATTCAAAATAGCCAAATTTTTAGACTTTCAAACATTAACTAAGGTGACAGAAACGCTAGAAAGCATTACAACACGTCCTCTGGCTGGCAGAAGTTGAAAAGCTAAAAATAGTTTACTATTCTACAATTACTGCCATTTCAGCATAGCTCAAGTTAAACTGCTTAAAACGAAGGCTATTACTCTGATAAATTAGTGTGATTAGGGAGTGAGTAAACGGAAAGAAAACTTATTTTGCTAAGATTTGGTCTTCCTGTCTCTGTAGAAAAAACATATTCATTAAATAACGATAAACTTAAATGGGACTTTGTCATGGCCAGTAATTCAATGACAGAAGACGATTCAAACCTTGCAAAGGGTTAAAGTTTTGGCCCCGAGAGTACAAATCGCAACTGCCACTGTCAAAATCCCTACTTGTGGTTAGCTTCTGGTCGTCAAACGTATAGGATTTCCCAAACGAAGCGGAACACACCGGCTCGCCTGTGTCCCAATTTTCATCCAAAGCAGGGCTGGCTTTTACAATTCTCGTGTCTTGAGCTCTTAAAAATATCTTTCAAAAAATTACTATTCTAGAAAAATTTAGTAAAAATTAGTGATGAGACTTTTACTGATAGCAGAAATGTAATGAGTGTCACTGTAATGTAATGAGCCTTGGGTACCCTTGGCTGGAGTAAAAGATGTCCCGTTTGTTCGACGTTTGGTTGTATGCCGATACGGAATGTGGATAACACCCCAATAAGGAAACCCTTTTATTTTCAGAAAGTGATAGTGGCGAAGCACCAGTCTTAAATAAACAAAGTTTCATTTACCAAACGATGCGAATCCTACCGAGCAAAATGTTATCTAATATACCTTTAGTGAAGGGACATTACTCGTTGATGACGACGCGAATTTTTCATTTGCAGATTCCATGAAGTTTTGAGACGGTCGCGACACGCTTTTCTGCTAAAATATTTTAACAAATTAGACTACTTAGACTAGGTTTTATATGGTGTATAAAGTAGTGAATAAGCAGTTATACGAATGTACTGAAAAAACAACCATTTCTAGCTCATTTTGTTCACTGAATCCTGTAGTAAATGAAGGTGAACTCCCCAGTCCTATTCCAGATGGAGATGCTGTAAGGAGAGTAAGACGTCGTCCAGTATTAGAAGGAAATGGAAGTGAGGGAGGTTGCTTAGTAGTTTTTGCGGGCGCAGGGTTTGCATTACTCGTATTTGGTCGAAAGGAAGATGTACTAGGATAGTTGAAGAACTTCACTTCTGGTAGTGCCGGGACTGGAGGTGGAGGTGGAGGCATCGGTGTGGGGAACACTAAACAGTTCGGTCGTGAGTACATCGTTCTGGTAGAAAAAATAACAAATTTAGAGTGAGTAATTATTTTGAAAACTAAAATATTTATGGCGTTTAAACAAATCAGAAAATTTTATTGAAATATTTTTTTCATCTGCGTGTTATCAAAACTATAGCAGCACTTTTTAAATTATTCATAACAGGTTATTACGTTGCAACAAAAACTTTAAATTGCAAACAAACAACCTGTAATATCGCTGAAATCCTTAAAAACAGCTTCTCTTTTCAGTAATTTCACAAAACCAAAAAAGCTGCCAAAATGTCAGTGTTATTCGGAAAAGTAATCTAAGCAACTCCTCCCAGTTCCTACTAGTTAAAGCCATTGGTATGTCTGCAAGGAACGTTCAACTCGCTTCTCCACGTTTCTTAGCAAAAATTTTTCACAGAGCCACGTCAATCAGAAGCAATGGGCACATGATGACAAGTTTTTCGTGGGTTAAACAGCCATTATGAACTCACGATACCCCTTCTCAAAAGGCTTACCATAAATTTTCCAGAGATAGCTTCAAGTCCCAATAGTCTTTTCTTTTCATAGAGTAAAGTTCCTTCTCCGAAAAAGAATAACGCTTAGGTATTTTTAGTAGTTCCACTGCACTTTAAAAACCATATAAGATCAGCCCACACAATAAAACCAGTCACCCCTATGCTTTCCAAAACTGCAGTTAAGATTTCAACTCTTGGATGATCATCTTACTCAAAGGTTAACAAAAGTTAAGTGTCCCTTTTATAAAATAGTCCGTATTTAACTCGTTAACTGAACGAGTTTCCCTACCCCTCTTTTCATTCCCTAGCTTTTTTAATTCATAAACTCATTTTAAATTATTATAGTTTTCCAAACTGCTGAAAGATTTTATGCTCTTCTCATTTCTTTATATGCCGAAAAAAAGTTGCCACAAAAAGCAATTTCATAATTTTTTGTCATGTAAAATCAAAAAAGTTCAGCAACAAAACATTACAGTGTTCTTTCATTGGTCCTAATATAACATACTATAAGCCTCAAACTTGCTCATAACTTAAGAAAAACTTACTAAGAAATTGCATTTCCTCTAAAAAAAATCAAAAGGGTTGTTGGACACCAATAGTACCATTTAACTGGCGACACTAATATTTTTCGAAGCAGCTACAGAAAAAAACTACAGCTAGAATGCTTTGCAAAAAAAACACGTCCCAGAAAAGAATATTAAAGTCACACTTGTCAGATTTGCTGTAGGCGGGGCTTGAGGCAATGGAATAGAAAATTTTGCTCCAGGGGGTACTGCCATGCGGAATTTAGTATTCTGAAAGGACTACACTTATATCTCTATACAAATTTTAGTCAATAAAATATATATGAACGAAATGACCATATTTTTCTTGTTATAAGCCAGTTTTTCACTAACAACTGCTTCATCATCGTCGTCGTCATCGTCAGATATTTCCATATCCATTTCTCCTTCAGACACTTTGCAATCCGCCAACACTGCCTATAAAATTGGAAGCGATTTCAACTACGCGGGCTTGTATCCTTAAGCAAAGTGATAAGGTTCGACAAACAAATGGCAACAGTTATTAGTTGGATTTTTCAAATTTTCAGACCTTTTCTTTAGAAGTAGACGGTTCACAGAATGTTGGAGCTGACGGTGGCGGCTCCAGCGGTAACGGTGGCAAACGTGTACAACTTTTAGGACTAAACCGACCAGAACAAGCCTCTGGCATCGGCGGTGGTGGGGGAGGAGGAAGAGTAGTCAAGTCAATTTTTACAGGAAGATCCAAAGAAGTCTGGTACGGGACAAAATCTTCATCAGTGTTCCCTGCCACAGAGTCCTCGCTTTTTTCAGTAGCAATGCTTCCAACCAATTCCTGAAAAATAAGTAAATTTGGTTACTAATGTGATCATTATTTGGCGTTAGTTCAATAAGGCATGAAGTTAACACCAAGATACAGAGTTTTCCAAACCCTAATAAAATGTCTGCCTGGCAATTTAAAAAATTTGTGCAAAAAAAAAATTCTGCAGTTTGATCGTATCACTTCCGCAAAGAGGAATAAAATAGCCAGTTCATCCAGAAGGAAATCAGAAGATGTCCGGAAAACTAAACATCTATACCTTCCCCACCTACAAAAAAAGAGCCAAAAATCTTATCACCTACGTCCAGCTTAATAATCGCCTCGGACCCAACAAAGGTACGGGGTCTTTCATCAGTTTCAAATTGTTTTGCGTCAAAGTCGCCTTCGTTTATCAACTTTGCTAAACGTTCATCTATGCTTGTCTTCTGCGTACTATAAGTTTTAAATTGATTATTCTTCCAGGTGTTACAAAAATGCAAGCGACAAAAAACTCTTTGAATCACCCAAGAGCAACTGCTCAAGAGACTTTGAAAGTAAAATATTTGTGGATCCTCCTTACTCCAAAGCTATACTTCTCTCCTCGGCCGAATCGCTTCCCAGCAAGTTATCCTTTTCAACCGTTTTTTTAACCAAAACCTCTTTTTCACGATGGCCTTCATCCAGTTTTGGAGTTTCCACTAAATTAATGAAATATGTTTATCACACTAGCTGGAACTATTTTTTTTTGTAAGTGGCGGTTTCGGATATTTGTTTGATTTCATGTCGTACCAGTTCAATTTAAACAGAAAAGAAACTAACAATCACAAGCAGATTTTTCGCTGACGGCTTCAGAGTCATCAAAACGAGAAAGACTCGGTCTGAAACTTCAGTATATAAGGAAAAAAATGTTTGAAGAAGTGTATAATTTTTTAGATTTACAAACTCATCAACAGCCCAAACATACAACAAGTATAAAAGTCCACCATAAAACGAAAGAAATTTGCTACAAAGTAAAAAAAAAATATGGAAAAGAAACAAACTGAGGTTCATCAAGGTGTGGCAATCCCACGCTCTTTGGTGTCCCACATTCCGAGTGTTGCAATGTCTGGTTCTCTTCGCCTTTATATGAAATATCAAAACCGAATGCTAGAGGATCACATTCCATGGTCGCTTCAAACTCTCTCATACACGTCCCTGGTGATGGCCTAAACTGGTGAACGTCAACGAAGAGAAAAAAAGGACAAAAAAAAAA